CCCCCCCCCCCCGTTGCTCCTCAGCTGAACCACCACTCTCAGGGGAAGATCAACCTGGTGTCCTACAAGGACGCCGCCTCCGCCGTCGTGGCGGCTCTCCAGGCGGGGATCAACCAGATCAAGGACGTGGACGGCGCTCCCGAGGTGAAGGGCAAGGTCTTCCTCGCCGCGGACCACTCCCCCACGACGCGGCGCAACATCTGCAAGGTGGCCCTGGAGCACCCGATCTACTTCCGCAGGTCCATGCCCAAGTTTACGCAGGACGCCACGCCGCCCGAGTTCGCGGTGACAGGAGCCAGGAAGGTGTACGACTCGAGCGCGACCAGGAGAGTGCTGGGGTGGGAGCCCGAGTTCAAGTCCTTCGAGGAGTACTTTAGGATAGAGCTGCAAGAGCTGGAGGAGAACGAGCGGCGGGCGGAGGAGAAGGCGGCCGCGGAGGCGGCGGCCGCGGAGAAAACGGCGGCACTGCCGGAGTGAAAATGAGTGTTTGCCCGGTCGGTTTTCGCGTCCCCGTGTTCATTTGGTTGTTTTGTTTGTTTGGTAGGTCATAACCCGGCTGCGCCGTCTCGTTTTTTTTGTTGTCGCTCGGCGCCTGCCTTGAAATTCGTGGACAGTCAAACGTGGAGGTGGCGTGCTGCTGCTGCTGCTGCTGCTGCTGCTGCTGCTGCTGCTGCTGCAAGATGCTGATCTCGTCGGGTTGCTGCTGTACCTCTTTCTCAAGGGGTTTCGATGATGACGGTTGCAGTAATTTTTTCATGTGATTATACGGGCTTGCGTCTATGCCAACCCGTTTCTCCGACATACGCACACACCTCGACACACAGCAGCTGCTGGTCTTCTTCCGTGGTGGTGTGCTGTCCACGCCCCGTCTGTGTTGGTTCCGTGTGTACCAGTGTTTGTTGCGTTTCACTCCCCTCCCACTGAGGTGTTGTTGCGGTTAGTGTGTAACGGCAGCGCTAACGCACGTCAAGTAGCATTGGTCTCCATTTCGTTCGCCTTGTGCGTCGGCTTGTGCTGGTGCGACTGGTGGGCGAAGCAAATCACACGAAAGAGTTGCGTGTTTTTTTTCTCTGTACGCGTGCTTTTTTCTGTACCAAGTATCTAGCATCGGGATAAACTCTACCACTGCTCTTTCGGGCGCTTTGCTTGTTGTGTGTTGGCTGATTTTGTATGTGGTAGCATGCTTCACATGGAAGTGTACGATGTTTGTGTGCGTGGATTGGCGTCCTCGCCCTAGATACCGCTGTACAAGTCTGAGGAACAATAAGGCCACCCTGTTGGAGGACGGTAGCATTGATTAGTGTGAGCATCCAAGTGAGTAGTCCTGCCCAGGCGTATGGGTAGGATGGGCAAAGTGACCGTCCATTCATTATCCATATAGAGCAACAGATGGCGATGTCCCTTTCCATAATGAACGGGGAGAACTGCTGTGATTTATGAAAGAGCAGTCGATTTATTTGTTTTTTGTGCATCCGGATTGATTCCTGCAGAATCGGTCGAGAAATAATGGCGGGTTCTGAGCTAAAACCGCCTCTTATTCCTTAGACTACAAGAAGTACTTCGTATTTTCTTTTTTCTGTTTTGTGATCTTTGAGGACAAGCCACATCATCAAGCCCTCGAGAGAGGTGGTGGAGAGTGCCATGAAACCCGTACAACAGCGGAGTGCATATGGTTGTGCGCGATGTGTGGCAGTACTACAGTACAGCACTCACTGTGAACAGCAGGGGCGCGGGGGGGGTTTCACGAGTGTTTCAGAACGCGGCCAGGAATGAGTTTGATGTCTGAAATTTTGGACACGTTTCCGTTAGATCACGGGATCACGAAAATATACTTTTTGTTTCATTTGGCCATCACTCACGAATAAGTGGAGGGAATCGAGGGAAAATCGCCGCCGCGGGGCCCCCGAGCATTATTCAAACCCGTCCGAATCTTATGAAATTTTCAGGTGAAGGTAATTTTGGGGTGCAGATCATGAATCCATCGTCAGAATTTTGATCGGAATCGATGCGATGTTGATACAGCTGCTCACTGATTTATTGCAAAAAGCGGGCAACACCTGGGAGCTACTAGGGTAGACTGAAAATTCCCTTCCCGCGGAAACGATCCACACGTTTGAGTAGAGGGTAATTTTAGGGTGGGGAACACGAATATATCCTCAGAATGTCCACGTGTGGCTTTGCAATCGACTTACAGCTGCTCAAAAGCTGACTTTAGCTGAGCAATTTCAAATTTCCTGGGAATTTGGATTCTCGGTTCCGGGCTCGAGTTGGTGTCGGACAATTTTCTAGGTCGTTCTATCCCCCCTAATTCAGCCAAGCGGAAGCGATTGCCATCACTTCCGAAAGCAACAAAGGTCGGTAATGCGGAGAAAAAAAAAATCGCGTCGAGTTCGACCCGAAGATGAACTTTTTTTTCTTGAAACTTGTTTTTAACGTCTTGTTCGGCCGTTTTAGAACGACATACAACGTCATTTTTTTTTTCTCGTAAAATCCATGCCCGGAGGGCGCGGGCCGGCTTTAATGCGGAACTCGCCCGATACCTTTTAGGTCTCCTGTCGGTTGGCGGAACTGCTTCTTTTGAAACCGATATTTTTCGCTGAGAGGCTACGCACCTTTGCATGGTTGGGAAGGCATTCGTTTCAGCAGAGGAGCAGGGGATAGATACCCAGGGCCGGCCAAGCTCCCTTCGCACTAAAATGAAGCGTTGCCAATTTCAGTCCGCGAAACATGCCCCAAAGAATCCATTTCCATACTTGGTAGAATAACTGTAGGTGCTCAACTTTCTCAGTCTTCGTTGAAGATGTCCCGAAGATATTTCAGGCGTGATGCCCCCATCCACATGCATGCGCGCTCAACACGATCACGTTTTGGGGTCTCGTGTCTGTGTGTGGGCCGTTTCTAGTGGCAAGGAAGCGAAGGCGCCGCAAGCCTCGTGCCTCACTGACCCCTGCCGCCCCCGGAGTATTGCGGCTTCCATGGCAGCAGCGCTGACTGGATCGGCACTCGCTCTCGTGTATTTCCCCATCTATTTTCATCGGAATAGTCATCACCCAACATCCGGAGCACCAATCAATCTCCGACACCAAACAAACCAAAATATACCGCTACTGCTGTTCGCATTTTTCAGCCTCTTAATAAGGAGGAAAACATTCCCTTGAGGTGGGGGGTGGGGGCAGGGGCGGGTGGCGACGTCTAACAAACTCAAGCATCTGCCACACGCCGGTATCGTCTCGAACACGACCTTCCCGAGCAGCAACAATAAACCACACTCCCCACGCGCTCCACCACATCGCCACTTGATACTGAACGTCAATCCCAAGAAGCGCTTCGCTCTTTTGTTTTTCTCCCCAAAAGAGCATTGCCTCCCGCTTTCCGACGTGTACCGACTGCAACACTGCTGCTGCTGCTGCTGCTGCTGCTGCTGTAAAACGGTGTATTTGGTACATTGTTATACACTCTACCATTTGACTAACAATACCGCGACATGCAAGGATAACGCCAACCTGTACCAAAGGTTTTGGTTGCTGCTTCTTCTGATGCTGCTGCTGCGTCTCCCCACCCCCCTGCGCACAATAATGAGGTGCATTGTACCGTTGATCGCAGGGGGCGACGTAATATCAATTTTTTGCTGCCTCCGCAGAAAGAGCTGCCACACATACTCCCAACGCCCCAAGAGCAACTTACTCTACTGCCACGCTTGCTTGCTCTCAAGAGCGGGCGTAAAATGACAACGATACAACCAACAGGAGAGCATATACTATATATTCTGAAAAAAGGCGACCGCGACGGAAAACAAGCATAGTTTTAGACACAACACCGCTCCACCCCCGCCGCGCCTTACTTTCGTGCTACTCTATCAGTACCAACCGTTGTCGTGCGTGTGTCGCTACGGATACAAAACCAACTCCAACTGCCTCTCGGCACGTGCACTTTCCCGTCTCCTCTACAGGTGTGTACCGGTTGCTGCGAAGACAACAGAATCAAGCAAACGTTATGCTGACCGGTAAATCACCAACCATGCCCCCCCCTCTCCCCCCCCCATTCTCTCTGCTAGACGGGCAATACATGGTACTTGATATTACGCAGAGATTGTATTCTGCCGCCGCTGAGCGTTTCAACTCTCAATGTTCTGCGTATTCTCAAGCTGGAATACCAGGCGCGACCGCCCCCCCCCAGAAATGACCCCCCCCCGCCCCCGTCTGGAAGTGAAAGCACCAGAAAGTAAATGAAGTCATACGCAGCTGTCATCCGTACGCAAGGAAGTAAGCACAAGATGCCGAACACCCTTAGTAGGATGCAGCGCACCACCCTTCATGCGACTCGCCCAATATCTCACGGCGCTTCGCGCTTGGTGATGTGAGAGCCTGGTCCGGTGAGAACCCGGCGTGCTCCGTCCCGGCTTTGTAGGGATGCGAGGTCAATGGTCTAACGACTACGGCATGCACAACTATGAGTATGAGTACATCCCGCCCCCGTCCCCCGAGAAAACAAATCATCGTAATCGAAACCCCGAACCTCCAACATCACACGCAAATAAAAACCACGAACACCCGTGGATGCACACACGAACAAGAAACAAAAACCAAGCCCGTCCATTGCATCCCAACGCTCGTGAACGTTATGGCGGTCCTCCAGACACCCGAAACCCGAAAAAATACTTCCCAGTTCATTTCCCAATGTCGTCATGTACAATGACGCCCGACGAGCATCATCTTATCCAGCATCTCTTCCTCCCCCTCCTCGTCTCATTCAACGCACCCCAGACTTTTGGTTGTGCTTGCCTTCTAGAGTGCACGCACCGACAACATGTCCCCACCCCCCCTCTGCTCAGCCTTGCCCAAATCCTCGCTGCTCTTCATGCCACTAACGCCACGCCGGGCTGCGTCGCCACGTCCTCGCCTCCACTCGCCGCCGCCCCTGTGTTTCCTTTATCTCTCGCCGCCGCCGTCGCCGTCTTGGCGGGAGAGGACCAGTACGGCGCCGCCGCCCCCCTCAACGCCGGCGACGACGAGGTGAACGCCGACGCGCCGAGCTCGCCGAGGCACCGGCACACCGCTGCCAGGTCCCGCGCGGCGTCCGGGTGAGCGGGCAAGGTCTGGGCGGGACGAGGCACAACAACAGACGACGAGCGCCGTTGCTGCTGCTGCTGCTGCTGCTGCTGCTGTGTGCTGGACCTCAGCACGCGGGCCACCGCCGTCGAAGATGGAGGCGGCAGCGCCACCGCCGCCACACCTGTGCCAGTTGTTGTCGCCGCCGCCGCCGCCGTCGCAGTGTTCGGCGTTTCTTCGCGCGGCGCAGCAGCCGCCACGTTGCTCTCCACCACGTCGGCGGTGGCGGTGGCGGTGGCCTGGGCGGCCGCGGCCGCGGCGGTCGTGAACGCCGCGAGGGACGCCACCTGTCGGGCGGCCGTCGCCCGGCTGTCGTCGGCCACCCCGCCCCTCAGGGTGCCGTCGAGGTATTCGAGCTCCAGGAAGCGACGTGCGGGTGTGGCCCACGCCATGCCCGGTCTAACCAGCAGGTCCTTAAGGAACCCCGATGCCGCGTCCGGGGCGAGCACGTCCGCCGGGGTGAACTCTATCGCCGCCTCTTTCTTGGCGGAACGGGCGAGGACGTCGCGGTCCAGCATGGTACACAAATTTACGATGTCGTCCCACGTCCGCCGCACGATGTGCGCGCCGCCGGCGCAGCGGACCCTGAGCACATACGACGCCACCGCCGCCGGGTGGGCCTGCGCCGAGCACTGCTCCACGCTGAAAGCCGCCGTGCTGTTCGGGCACGGCTGCGCGCTGAAGACGGAGCAGACGCCGCCACCGCCACCGCTTAGCGTACCCCCCCCCGCCTCCCCCGCCGTGGCCGCAGCAGCCGAGTAGGCGGACGGCTTGGGCCCCGCCCCCCCCCGTCTCCCCCCTCTCGCCTCCGCCGACGGCCCTTCGATGTGGTCCCACTGCTGCTTCAAGGGCTTCACCAGGACGTCCCACGATGCGTACCCTCCCCCCAGGCCGCCGCTGTTACAGCTGTTGCTGCTGCTGCTGCTCACGCTGCCCGTGGTGCTGCCGCCGGCCGCCGACCCGCCGCTGCTGGTGTCACTCGCTTGCCCCCCACCCATCCCACCCCCGGATTTCTTATACCGCACCCTTCTTGACTTCGAGGACGACCCGCCGTAACGCGTCCTCAGCGCCGCCTGTGTTGGGGCTTCGGTACAGCTTACCGCCTGCGGTCCTATCAAGACCACACTGCCCGCAGCCGCCCCACCACCACACGCGGTGGCCGCAGTCGTCGCTGCTGCCGCCGGTGCCGCTGCCCCCGCCGCCCCGCTTTGTAAATATGACTTCTTTGTTCGCACCCCCCGTCGCTTGCTCCCGCTCCGGAGGCCGTGCCCACCCGCCGCGTCGCGCCCCCCATCCCACTCCCCCCCGGCAACGTCGTCGCTGGCGGAGCCGTTGTCCGAGCTGGACCCGGACCCCCCGCCCGTGCTCGTCGACGAGTTCCCCGAGGAGACGCTCTCGCCGCCCAGCCTCTGCCTCAAGAACACCGTCCGGTCCCCCGCCCCCGCCGGCGGGGGGGGCACCGCCATCGTGTGGACCCCCCCCCTGATAGGGCGGCCCTGCTGCTGCTGCTGCTGGAAGTCTGGCAACGCGCGCTTTCTCCCGCCGCCGCCGCCCCTGCCCGCCTCCAACGGCGAGGAGGAGGACGCGGCCACCGCCGCCGGAGATGACACTGCCGCTCCCGCTGATCCGCCCGCCGCCGGTGGGCTCGTCGTGCTGCCCGCGGCCGCGGAGGTTCCTGCTTTGGCGGCCGCCGCTGCTCCTATCGCCGCCATCTCCGCGCCCGTCGACCCCCAGGTCGGGAACAGCGGGTTCTCCGCCGGTCCCGTCGGGTATTGGAACTCCAGAGCTTCCTTGGTGAAGAACCGCTCGTCGGCGCTCTCCGGTAGTTCAGGTAGAGGGTCCAGCTCCTGGTAAAAACGCGGGAGATTATCAGAAAAGGAGGGCTGTGCGTTGGAACGGGACGGGTAACGATGCGGTAGGGCAAGCGCAAGCAAACAAGACTCTCGTTGTTTGGTGTATATACTGTACGTAGTTCGGAGTGGTAAATACCACTATTTTTCCGACATGCAACACAGCAGTTGTACAATTATTAGTCCGTCGGCTAATCCGCAATAAATATATTCGCAAATTAGTATGCGAAATACGAATTAAGGGCGAACAGTCGTGAGTGCACGCAAGCAAGAAAAAGGGAAGGGGTCGCTGAAACTTTCTCGCGAAAGAAAAATGTGAAGGAAGGCAGAGGAAATCATGATTATCACGTGTAACCTCTGTTGGTGGGCCGAACATGTACAGCAGTAGTGGTTCCGAAACATGTGTGTGCAGAACTTGGCGTCAAAAATGTTGAGAACGGCCGGGGTAGACTGCTGTCGCCCAACATCTGAAGGCGACAACACAAAAAACACGCATAGGCGCGAGCTGTGCAGTTCTCTAGACTCATGTGTAGTGGGTTATTCCTTCCACCATCACAAGTCCGTAGCGAGTTCGCAAACATGTCACGCGTAAGGGCCGACAAGCCTTCCCGCCGCGTCGCTGAACATCACGCCGCGCCCGCTTCTTCCAAAAAAACGCAGCTGTAAATGATGATACAAACTGCCCTGAAACCTGGAACAATACTAACGACCAGAGAGGGAACGCGACAAGATGAACCAGGATGCCAACTGTGTGGCGAGTGGTGCAGCTATTGGCTTGCTGTACCTACATGGGATCAGGGGAGAGAGGGGCGAGATTTCCACAAATCATGAACCGTATGATACTGCTTGAAAGAGCAAGTAGCACGTGCCAAAAAAGCGGTAGATTGCTCTGGCTGCTGCTGGCTGCTGGATGCTGGCCGGTGCTGTAGGTACGCACGAGAGTCTCGCAGCGAGGGTTGTTCTGCAAAGTGCTACATGGATGCGATACCTCCGCGGCCTTTACTAAGGCGACTACCGCGCCTGCACACCACTGGCGTTCCACTTGAAACACACATGTAGCAGTGCGGACACTTTGTAACTGCTCTCCGTTCCTGCTTCTTTGGCGCACACGACACACAAAGAAGACCGGCAACAAGCAGCCAGTGTGATTCTGCTCTCATCTCGCGAGCGAAAGCCTCTGTTTCTGCTGCTCACGTAAAAAGAGCCTATGTACATGTGTTCACCAAGGCCGTCATGAGGCCTGAACGTCTGGACAGCTGCAGTCGCAGCAGCGGCAGTCGCAGCGGGTGCACTTCCGCTACGCATGAACAGCAGCAAACAATCTGCTGGTTGACGGTGGTGGAGCCAGCCGGCAACGGTATAAGCAAGCGTAATGGAGATGGCGAAAAAGCTACCAACAGCTCGCAGGCCGAGGCAAAAGTTTGTGTGCCATAACAGCCGTGCGGCCTCTCGGGTCACGTCCGCTGCGTGGCTCATCGTTTCTTGAGGGAAACATAAACGATTCAACAAAGCGCCATCTGGTCTATCTACCGCTGGCTCGTCGCCCTTTTTTCGAAGACATTTCAGCTTAACAAATTCGTCGGTAGGCTGCGTTCGTTGGTTGCACGTGCACCAACTGCACAAACTGAGGCGAAAAGCGTTTAAGAGGTCGTGGTGCGCTCTGCCGTGCGCGACGCAAACCCAGACCAACAACTGCCGCGGGGGTGCCACCCTCTACTCTGCAGTCGACCATGCCATGGACGGTGAGATTGAGACCACCATCTTCGCGCAGCGTCCACAACCAACAAATTGAAAAACTTTGCTTGTTTCCGCCAGTCCGCCCGAGCACCCACATGTGAAGTTGTTGTTGGAAGCCAAAGAAATGACCACAATCATCTGTAGCCTGAACAGCGTCCAACAAGATAGCAAGGCCCACCAAAGGGGGTTTCCGCATGCCGCCAGCACTCTCCTCGGGGCATGGATGGAGCTGGCCAATACGACACAGCGCGAACTCCCGCTTCTCTTAAAAAGGCGCTGCTGCCGCCGCCTTTGCTCTCTCACTCACCTCCAAAATATCAGCGTAGTTATCCGGGTTATCCTCCATTGCCGCGGCTTCGTTTTTGGCCTGCCAAGCTGCGTGCTGCCGTAGTAGCAATCGCGCTCTTTTCACAGAGAGTTCGGCAACTCCACGTGTCTCTTCCCTTGCCGTAGAGAGAGAGAGAGAGAGTTTGGCTGGTTGGTAAGCACCCTCGCGTTGCTTTCGCTTCTTCAGTAGGTTGCGTCCTCCAAGGGTGAACGAAGAGAGCGATGATGTACGCATACGTAGGTATGTTATGATGGCCACGTGCGTGGTCGTTAAACTTCAATGCCCATCGGCCAATCAGAGGCCGGGATTCAGGATTCCGGTAAGTGCAAAAGGAAGAATAAGATTTTTGTAAATCACGCCGCTTTTCCGAAACGGCTCGAGCGAGCACCATTGCCTTTGCTGTAATACGTTGTTAATTACTGCTGTTGTTTCAGAGGCAGCAACTGACGGACGGGAAGGAGAGCATTGAGGGACACGAGCAAAATGTGAGCATAAGTAGGGGGAGGGTTGCTTGACAGCAGTCCTTTCGAGTACGGATTGCGCCTCTCGCTGTTCTAGGTGTAGACTACATGTAGATACTCGGATCATATTGTCTTTGTTGGCGGATTGGTGCGATGGCAGTGCGGCTTCGTACAACAGGCTTGCTGTAGATAGGTCTGTAGGGTGTACCGTTGTACAGGGCAGACAGCAGTGTTAGCAAGCAGTCGTACGCCTCAGAAGGCCGCGAGAGGGATACACCCCGGTGGTCTAGTGGGTAGCCTCGCAGCCTGCTAAGGGCCAGGTCATGGTTTCGAGTACTGGCAGAGAGAGTTTTTTTCTCACTAAATAAATCCTGGTCTAGGATGAAAGCGACGCGCTGCGAAGCTCGTTTGTTAGTAAACCATAATCGACTTCGTAAGTCGCGAGGGAAGGGATTGCTGAACCCTTCTCGCGATAAAAATACCTCAGGCAGGAACCGCTGGAGGGGGTCAAACCCCCCCCTCCTATGTGATCCCGGTTGGGTCGTCTAGCTAGTAGAAGTGGAGGATAGCTGTCAGAGGGGCAGACGACTGAGTCCAATGATGTTGTTGTTGTTGTTGACTTCACATTAAACCGTATGCCAGTTGCTAAATGCCAAAATCTAGCAAAGACTCTCGGCCCGTGGTCACGAAAGTGCTAGAGCCATCTGAGGATCTAAAGAACACGCACACGTAGCAAGAAAAAGGTATCCAAGAGCCCGAAGAGGTACTACTACACCTATATATAATCCCTGCAGCACCGTACGCGTGCCCAAAACTGAACTACACGTCCGTCTCACCGTTCGACTACAGCAACATCACCCCCTACCTGTCCCACTCTGTACCAAAACGAATGATTGCCGACTACAGCATACTTGCTGTCTGAAGTGCTGTCTGTACAAAAACACCATGGTAGGCATGGAACAAGAAGCTGGCGGGGCACAAAGCTGCTGTCTGAAGTGCTGTCAGAATGTGTCTGCGGACGTACAGTGAAAAAGAACAACCAACCAAAGCCATGATTGCAATGGACAATCACCCGAACCTCTCCCGATCGTCTGCGTTAGGCACGCAGTGAAAATATCGACAATAGCTAAGAATCGTTCCACATTGAAAGGGTCTTGGGAGAAAAACAAACAAAAAAAACAAACAAACACCGACAACAACTGGTTTCTTTCGTAGGGAATTACTTTCACGGCGCAAACTCGCCGCCTGGGCGTGTTTGTGCGGAAATAATGCACGTCCTGTACCACATAGCCTACATGTGTTTCCCCGGGTCGGAATTCTCCGCCGCCTGGAGAGGCAAACCACGTGTGGTAGGAATGACACACCGTGTAAAAAATACGTGCGATGTAGACTACTATTCTGTGCTGCTCTCCATGCACGAACATGAGCTGACCGCAATGCCGACTGCCGCACCCACCACTAACCGTGTGTTGTTGTTGTTGTTGTTGACTTCACATTAAACCGTATGCCAGTTGCT